GATGAATAGCCTCAGAAACCTATAGGAGGGCCACTTCTACCCTACCCTTCAGGGTCACTGTGTGTCGGAATCAACTTGATGAGAGTGAGTTTGGGTTTTGGGAGCACGTGTGAAAACCGTCAACAGGCGGTTCATTTTCAGTTCTCAAGATGTCTTTGAATTCTCCACCAGGCAAAGGATTTCTCCTGGCTGCCTTGCTCCCTCGCTCCCCATTGCAAATTCATCCTGAGCACTGTCTCCTCCAGCCTGTCCTACAAGTCCCTGTGTGGCCGCCCAGATGTGAGGACGATGGAGCTCGTCAGCACAGGCGAAGCAGAAGCCAAGCTACGCATCTTTAGGCAGCACCTCTCCACGCCCAGCAACGACCCCTTCCGACAGAGAAGGCAAGCGCTGAGGAAAAAAACAAACCTGAACCCGTTAAAGCTCACCATCCTAGCCAGTGAATCTAAAGAATGCAGGATCTACAGGAACGAGCTTCAGTGCATGAAGGCATACCTGGAAGTGGCGTCTATTCAGGATCTCTGGGAACTGATCCTGAAACGATGGGTCGAAGACTACAGTTGGACTTTTACAAAGAGAAAAGGAGGCTCATGCACCTTGGCTTCTGGAGAAGGTACGTCTCGGGCGACGTGGACAGCTTGGTATGGCAGCTTTTATCGACAGGGAGCAAGATAGATGTGGGACTTCATCTAGGAGGAGGAGGTGTTAAGGGATGAGGTGACCAGACAAAACAGGGACTCCGCTGTGAATTTCAGATAAAAAAACCAGTTATTGTTTAGTGTTTGGCTGTTAGTTGCCCCTGAATCCTTTCCGACCCGTAGCGCTACAGAATGAAACACGCCATGGTCCTGCTCCAGCCTCATAATGATTCCCACGCTTGGGCCCACAGTCGAGGTCACGGTGTCCGTCCATCTCCTTGAGAGCCTTCCTCTCTTTCACTGCCCTTCCACTTTACCAAACAGGGTAGCCTTCTCCAGGGCCTGGCCGCTCCTGACAACACGACCAATGTATCTAAGATGACGTCCCCTCATTTCACTTCTAAGCAGCATCTGGTCACACTTTTCCCAAGACAGATGTGTTTGCTCTTTCGGCAGTCCCTGGTACTTTCCCTATTCTTCTCCGGCAGTGCAATCCAAACGCATCGGTGCTGCTCCGGTCTTCCTTATTCAATGCCCAGCTCTCACATGCAGCTGAGGCGATTGGAACTACCATGGCGTGAGTCAGGCTCACCTTCGTCCTCAGAGTAACATCCTTGCTTTTGAATGCCCCAAAGAGGTCTTGTGTAATAGATTTACCCAATGCAGCCCTTAACTGCCGACTGAGTATATCCCAAAGACTGCTTGGGACATCCTTGTACTCAAAATCAAGGTGCGGAATTGATCAGAAATCCAAGTTTAACTGGGTGTTCCGTATTTTTTATTTGGTGACTCTGGCATGCCTCGCTAGGGAGCTGCTCACGGGGAGTGTAGGCAGACCTGTCGGAGGCACACCTGTGAATTGCAGATGGTAAGAAACGGGCCTTTATTATGTCTATCACCCGAATCCATCTCTTTTGAGTCCACCGTCCTGGCTGAGAGCAGAAACCCAACATCCGGTCCATTCAGAGTTCATCCATCAGTTTAATTTGCTTCCAGTCAATTCTGATTTTTTTTCCACTCAAGCAAGGATTTGGGCCCTGACCGTGTCTCTGCCGAGTCCAGCCGTGAGACTAGGCGTCCTTGACTGTTATCTGTGCTCCCATCTTGTCCCATCAAGCCCTACGGTGGACTTGGCTCCTGATGGTGCCCAGACGGTGGCATCCTCCTCAGGCGTCTCTGAGGAGCCCGGGCGGCACATAGGGTTCCGAGTTGGCCTGTTAACGGGACAGTTAGTGGCCCAAACCCACCGATCTCTCTCTGGGAGAAAGATGAGGCTTTCAGTTCCCATGAAGGTGTACAGCCATGGAAACCTATAGAAGCAGTTCTACTCTGTTCTACAGGGTCACCATGAGTCGGGATCAACTGCATGGCCACGGGGTCGAGTTCCTGGGTGCCAGTCTGTTCTTGGGTTGCTCAGTCTCAGCTGCCATCTGCGGTCTCATCCAAACTGTGAGGGGATCCCCTCCCCTCAGCCAAACCCTGCCCCTTCTTGAGCCTGCAGTCCCTACAGGAACCTGGCTGCTCAGGGCCTCTACCTACCCACTGCCACTGAGCCCATTCTGACTCATAGCGACTTTACAGCAGGGTTTGCAAGGCTGTACATCTTCATGGGAACAGGTAGCCTCGTTTTCCTCTCGAGGAGCAGCTGATGGGTTTAAACTGCTGATGGTGAAGTTAGTTGACCATCATTTACTGGGCAGACCAGAGCCCGGGCAGTGTGGTGATTACACAATTGGCTGTGAACCCAAAGGCGGGCAGTTCAAAATCATCACTTTGTGGGAGAAAGATGATGCTTTCTACTTTCTTTTTTTTTTTT